TTTTTTTAGGTTGGGTTACTTTTGCTCTTTTATGGGCTATAAAGTTGACTGTGTTTGCTTTCACCTCTCCTCCACTGGGCAAGAAGTCAAAGCATGACTCTTGCTGTAGGGACACAGACTTTGGAGTATTTGGTAGGATATATAGCTCCTTCCCCAGCATAAATTCTTAGGAACATGGGAATTATAGTGAATGCAGACATATGAGCACCAAATTGCAGCCCTCATGCAATTTTCAGGAATTGAAACAGCCCATGGAATGTGTCTGGAATACCTTTCCAATTATATTAAAGCTAGACTTCCTGTATTTAAGTGTAAACTGCATAATAATTTATGCCCAAGTGTCTTCATTGTTCTTCAAAGAATCTTTTCATCAGGATTTAGTTGTGGTCAGGAATACATTAATGGATGACATCTTCTGATGTAGTAGACGAATTTTTACCCTCTTCAACTAAACCACAGAGGGAGAGAGGAAGCAAAAGTGCATAACCCAGTTGAGGAAACAGCTTGCTGCTGTCATCGTTTGGGAGGTTTATGCCATTYGTGAATTTAGCCTAATATGCCTGTTACTTACAAAAAATGCCAATCACCTCCTCAACCAATCTTAGTAATGAGAATGGACATATTATTTTTTTCCAAGCTACACACAAACTGTTGACACATCATGGTTCAATTGTAATCCACTTACACCTTGGCGGAACAAAGAAAATTTTTTTGTCTACTTGACTGCTTAACACACAAACTCAGAGTGATTGGCAAAGCTGAAAACAAAATGTCTTTAAGAGAAAATAAAACAGAGCAGTTTATTTAGTAGAGAAGGGAGAGGGGGTTATTTTATTGCAATCTCCTTGAGGGACAATATGGGGGAAATCCCCTGATGTTGTTTGCATGAGACAAGATCTTGTGTTTGAAGGCTTGCAGAAGTGTATCTCATGTGATGACTAAYCTCATTTGTCTTTTTTATTTTTCTGTCACCATAACCATGATGTTTGAGAACAGCTGGTGTCCTCAGAGCTAAGCCATCCTATGTTTGTTTGTTCCATCTAAGTCTAGGCACTGTGCCAGCGAGGGGGGCAGTGCAGCTAAACTTGGAGAGTAGAGCTCTGTTCCTAAAGCACTGACAACAGGACTTTAAAGATGAGTTGTCTCATGACCTTTGGCCTCCTTCAGCTTGGGGAGAATAATTTTGTCTGGACAAAAATACATGCAATGAAGTCACATTCTCAATCCAGATGAGAGCAGTAAAGCTCAGGAACTTGACTCTATGGACATCTGGATTAATGGCAGAGATGATTGTGGTACTCAGTATTATTCCCCTATATTAAAGGGATGTATTTAGGTAACCTCCCACTAAAAGGTGAAATAGAAGATTTTTGTTCCTTTATTTTTAATTGAGAGCATTCTGCTGGGCACAGAGTTAAGTTCTGCCCCCCATATTCCTATGGGTAACCCCTAGTGGGGTTTTTTCTTTCTAATATTTTAGGGTTTTGTACTGAAWGTAAATTTTAACTGTTGAAGGATAATGTATGAGTTTCTGAAACTGAATAGGTAAACATCTGCTGGGATTGTCTTATTTAAGGCATTCCTTGTTTGCCACTAAGGAATAACAGGAATCAAMAAAATGTATTGTGTGTCACTGTAGCTGTCATGAATGCTAGAGGAGGTCCCATAGAGGGGCTGAGGGTATTTTATTCTATTGATATATCAGACTAATAACTGTCTTGTGAGAGGGGATATTTCAGTAAAGAATGAAAGTCAGCTCCCAAGTGAAATGGAAATGAATGATGCCAAGARATACCTGACTCATAATTAACTCTGTTCAACTGATCGTGCACAATGTTATATAACACCGTATCAATGTAATTTGGAGGCAGTGTATGGTGACTCACAAATCCTGCATTCTCAACCTTTTTAAGGCATTGCATGAAGTGATTCTTCTCCTCCTAGATGCTGAATTACTTTGAGYAGCAAAACCACCTTTTTGTGCCATATCCTCCTGGTTGTTAAGTATAATTCCTGCATGTCTCTGTCTCCTTCAAAAATTCCAGGWGACTCAAAGAAGAAAAGGAATGAGAAACTGGATTATTTTGCAGGAATATCTTACATTCAGTGCATTTTTCAGAGTCCAAATGCCTCTTATATGGATTTTAGAAGCTCTTGCCAGTTGAGTTCTTCTACAGTGTATATTTTACTGTGTTCATTGAGTTACTGTCACTGTTGATTTGAAGTCTTAAGGTTATGTCATGCACAAACAAATCATGTTGAGGTCAAAGCAAGTTTAATAACACTTCTTGTTGAATTTTAAAATATAAGAGGATCATTCTGCTTGAATGCTTGGCAGCTGTGAAGTGTTTTAATGAATAGAGCCTTTTTTCTATACGACTATTAAAGCAAATAGTTTGGTCAATATATGTGTTTGTACAGCAAGCAGAAGTCTCTTTTGCAGACTTTTTGCACATCTCTCTCTTTTAAGTACATCTTTTTTCTCGAGGGATGTAGCTTGGAGCTCATGGAATGATTTTGCAGTGCGAAGATGCCAAGCAGTAGTTAGTAAAGAGTTTTCAAGTGCAAGTACTCTCAGCTCCAAAATGTGTTTCTGTAACTTTTCTCTGGCTGTTATAACCAAAAAACCATTSTGGCTGTTCACTAGCAGTGCATTAGCACCAAACCTACAGCAGTGATTGTTATTGAGGTGTTCTTACAGAATGCATAGGAAGGAGGAAAAATGTACATTTTTGCCTCGGTGCCCACTCATCACCTTTAGCAGGGTAGGATTTGGGATGTCCTACCCTCCAGAAGCAATTCTGATCACAGCGATAGCTGTGCGTACCTGACATGAGCAATAAATGGAGGCAGTGAGATTTTGAAAGGTAAAAGAAACAACCTACAAGAGAATTTCTTATCTCTAGTTGTTGCTGACAGGATAAATGTTCCAAAAAGATTGAGAACTGTTACATTATATTTTTCTTATTTTATATATTGATAGGCTTCCAAAGCACAGAACAATTGGATAAATTGTCTACCAATGCTCAAAGTGAGAAGCTGATACAAAACTTCCTGAGACAGGTAWGACAGAGACTGTTGGTCAGATTCTRGTGAAAATGGCTGGAATTTCTAGCYTTGAGGAAGCCAAGACAGAAAGCATCTTCAGTTGAGCATATATAAGTGTACACCAAAAAAACCTCAGTATTAAGAACATAAAGATCAGTAAGGATGGTGCAGAATCAATTATGTACATRTTTTAGAATTCATTTTAGATGAATTCTAAGCAAGGAGCTTGCCAGTTCCTGTGAGAAAATATTGTAATTTATTGCTTCCCCAGATTAAATAACCAGAAGGTGTTTTTTTTTGTAGAATTTTAAAATGTCTGTTGAATGTCACAGATTTCTAAATCAAAAAGATTAGAAAAAGAAAGCTTATTGAAAGCAGACAACATCATGCAGAACACTCGGTTTTGCTCTTTAATCAATACATACAATTTTTTAAAATCTGTCTAATATGAAGTATGCARGTCAATTGTTTAGCACAGTTTAAAAAAAACTAAGCACTATCCCATCCTTGATATTTTACTATGATTTGTACATTTGCTACATACTTTTGCCTTTCCCTTGAGTTGAACATTGGTTTGTTACATTATTTCATATCTAAGACTTAGTCCTCTATACGTTAAATATTTCAATAAATAAAGGTTGAATTTAAGAGTGAAATCRATAAGGCAGCAAAACCAGTTGATCAGCTTTCATATAAACAGTGCATTAAAGGCACTGTGAAATTGTGTGAGGCAAAATGAACACTACAAAGTCAAAAGCTAGGCTTTAAAGCTGAAAYATTGTTTTTCAAATGTTGCATATCACAGAAAAACCCACTTCTCTGCTTTCTTCAAACAGTCCCTTTATTCTTTTATCCCAAAGCAAGGACATAAATTACATCCTTGCTGAACTAATAATGCAGCCAGGAAAAAAGAATGCAAATTTTTGTTTAACTATTTAACATGCACAGAGAGATTAACTTAGTCCACAAGGCCTGGGTAACTAATCTAAAAAGCACTCTGGGGGACACTTTGGTTGAAGGCAAGAAAAACTGGCACAGCAGTAACTCCTAATGTGTCCTTTGCTAGTGAATGGCCTGTGATTCTCTTTTCTTCCTGCAGTTCTGCACTAAATTGGAAATGTTACATCCCCAGGCCCAGATATGTCTCTGATCCAAGAGGGGTGCTCAGAGGAGAGAAGGAAGCTAAATGAGATTTAGTGTCTATCTGGTAAGTCTCCTTGTGACTTCTTGCTTTGACCCCAACCTCCTAGGTATTGCTGCAAAGGAACAAGCTTTATATGATCAGGAACAAAGAGACTGATCTCTTCTATGCTTTCTTTCTGAAAAAGRSACAAAATTAAAACCAGACAACATAATTTGGCCTCCTCCAGTGCAAGACTTCTGAGCAGAATAGGAAAAACAGCCTTTTGCCATCCCAGGAACAAATTATTTTGTCCTTGTTAATGAAAAGGCAAAGTGTGGACTTGTGGCAGAGGCAGCTGTGTTCAGCACCATTACTCCTTAAAAAGCCTGGTGGGGGGATTGGGATGAGTGAGCTCTGCAGAGCAGTACCTACAGCTCCAGTTCTGTACCACTCCTCTGCTTTACTGGGATCCATGGCACAGAATTGAGATGGGAGGAGGAGGAGTGTGTATCCATCCTTTAGTGCAGGCCATTTTGCCCTCAGTGCCTCCCTCCCTGCCCTGGGGCACAGAGCAGCACCCCTTGGCTGCTCCCGGGGCTGTGGGGGATCTGGGGCTCTGTGCACTGAAGCAGCTGGACTGGGTGACAGCAAGGGGGAAGGTTGCTCAGCCAGCACCAGGGGTTTTGAGTATTTGTTTTACTTGTTTCTAAAGTCAGTCCTGTCTCCAAAAGTTTTTCAGCAGCTGCAGAAATCTACAGTCCTTAGCTCACAGCCCAGTCTGTTATTTTGTGTTACATCATGCACTATTCCAGGAGGTAGAACTGCTTATGATTTCATAGCAAAGTTGATTTTCTAGCTTAATTCCTCAAGGGACCTTTAAGGGAATGGAAGCTCACAAATAAAATGAAGAAATTAAAATACATTACTAACACTAAACTGCAGCATTTATTTGGATTAATAAAATAGAAAATTGATAATGATCATTTACCTTGSATTTGATTTTAGTTCTGCTGATTTTAGTTCACTGCTGATTCGATAGGTTCCTGCTTCTCAGTCTCACTTTATTACTTTGGGAAATATTTTCATTGAAGAGGATTTSTTCTCTGAGTGGGATGATACTATTGTTTTTAACAGTTTTTAAGTTTTCTGGGCTTCTATCAGTCTATATAAAAGTTGTGATTTGAAGTCAAAGTCCACCTTTCATGTTGAAATCCCTTACTAATGGGGTAATTAAACACCCCAAGTTCTCCAAGTGGAACACAGATACCAAGCTACCAAAACACAAAAATTTTTCATTTTTCAGGTTCTGAAGGAACAGTCCCAAATCATTCTAAGGCCTGTGTATACATTGTTTGGTCTTTTTTGACTAACTAAACTTTGGTGTAGATTGAAGGGTTCTCTCTGATAGTGAGGTATCACACACCTCCAATAAAAACAGGGGTCTGTCCAAATCAAGGAGTGTGTGGTCTGTGCTGGAGGAAAATCCTGCCTAGCTCAGTTCCCCCGATATAGCCTAACTCTGTATGTAAAGACCTCTGTAGAAGTTAGTTAATCTTTCCTCCTTTGCTGTTAAGAAAGGTGAACKATTTTAGAGTATCCCATCACAAACTGATACCTCAGGGCAGCCAAAAGTGGTGCGTGTTGTGCTGAGAAGATGCAGGAATGTTCTTAGAGAGCATTGCCTGCTGTGGGRATCAGAGAGCAATTGTTTTGACTACATGATCTCATGAAGCTTTTGTGACATTGTGTGCCAGTTCAGTAACTTGGTCCTCCTTTAACTTATTTTCTAATTATATTACTAAAAACAAGCCTTTTCTGTCAACTCAGTTGTTAAGCCTGTTCACACATAGTTGTGACTAAAGCTGATAGATCAGTTCATGTTTCGAGAAGGACTTGGGGATGCTGGTGGATGAGAGCATGGGCATGAGCCAGCAATGTGTGCTGGCAGCCCAGAAAACTGATTGTGTCCTGAGCTTCATCCATAGCACCATGGGCAGCAGGAGAGGGAGGGGATTCTGCCCCTCTGCTCTGCTCTGGTGAGACCCCACCTGGAACACCACATCCRTTGCTGGGGACACAGCACAGGAAGGACATGGACCTGCTGGAAACTGTCCTGAGGAAGCAACAAAGATGATTTGAAGGATGGAGCACCTCTGCTGTGAGGAAAGGCTGAGGATTTGGGTTGTTCATCCTGGAAAAGAGAAGGGTTTGGGGGAACAAACTGTGACCTTTACTGTCCAGTACCTGAAGGGACCTTTCAGGAAAGACAGGGAGGGACATTTCACAAGAGCGTGGAGTGACAGGACAAGGGGCAATGGCTTCACGGTGAATACATTTAGATGGGATATTAGGAAAAAGGTCTGTGAGGATAGTGAGGTCCTGGCACAGGTTGTCCAGAGAAGCGGTGGCTGCCTCCATCCTGGAAGTGTTGAAGRCCAGATTGGACAGCGCTTGGAGCAGCCTGAGATAGTGGAAGGTGCCCTTGGCAGGGGGTTGTAACGAGATGAGCTTTAAGGCTCCTTCCATTGTAGGCTGCTCTCTGAAATACTGCTCCTGTGAGCTGGACTTGTGCTGTGCCACATTTCCATCGCTGTTCCTATTGTTGTTCCGACGGAACCCACAGCTGAGTGTGGAAGGCGCCGCTGGAGTGAGAAAAGTCCCGTCCCGTCCAGAGCGTGGCGGGGCCGGTGCCGCCACCGCGCGGCCGAACCGCGGCAATGCCCAAAGGCTCCGCCTGCCAAAGCTGGTTCCCATAAAAACCATCGGAGTTACAGTTATTTCTCTTCYTTTTCCACCCCCTCAGGCTTTGCAGCTGTTTCTGTTTAGCTTTATGAGGTGACAAGCCACACTGTCCGATAAAACATCGCTCATTGTCACTTACTGTTGCCCATGGCAGATATCTGAGGCAGATAGCACAGTGAATTYTCAAGTTTTAGTCCTTGAAGTTGCCCAGTTTTATCATGGAAATGTTTAAATGTTAAAATGTTAAAAATGACATRTTTATGTATAGAGAGAGCATAATATGAGTTCTTCTTACTGGAGTATTCGCAGATGCTGGAGCATGTCCAGAGAAGGGCARTGCAGCTGGTGGAAGGGTCTGGAGCATCAGTCTTAGGAGGAGCACCTGTGGATAACGATTGAAGGTGCATAAGAGGAGGCTCRAGGGAGACCTTATYACCCAACCACCTGAAAGGAGGTTGTARCCAGGTGGRWGTTGGTCTTTTCTCTCAAGTAACAAGCAATAAGATGAGATCAAACAGCCTCAAGTTGTGYTAAGGGAGGTTTRRATTSGAATTAGGAAAAATTCTTCAAYAAAACAGCACTAGAACAGGCTGTGAAGGGAAGTGGTGGTGTCACCATCTCTAGAGAGATTTCAAAACCAAGTAGATGTGGTGCTTAGGGATATGGTTCAGTGGTGGAYTTCACARTGCTGGGTTACCAGTTGGGCTCTCTGACCTCAAAGGTCCTTTCCAATCTACACAGTCGCATGGTGCATGCTTTATGCTCCTCAACTCCGTAATTGTTTCCCTATGTAGTTTACTTGGTAGTTCATGTTAGGTTTCAATCATAAACCACTAAGGGTGGTTAATCCACCCTTATTGAGATCAGTACAAGCCATGACATACTAGAAGTCTTTTTATTTCTGCTGTCACTTTACTGTCACAAGAGAAAACTCTGGACTCTGAGGTAGGACAATATTTTAGTTGCTTTTTCCATTTGATAACAGGAAAGTTGCCATCCCCCTCTGCTTTAAGCATTGTTTCCTCCCCTCTAGCTACAATACTCTTCTATGACTCAAATTCTGTCTCTGCAGTTACCCAATACAGATTAATTTCTTCTCTCTCCTCAACTTTTATCTTTACARTGGGATAATAATCCCTTTTTATTAGTGGGGTGGGGTTTTTTTGGAGTTTGTTTGTGTTTTTTTAAATCACAAGACACACTCCTTTGTCACATACATCTACATCTACACATCACCTCCAGATGACTTAAATAATGTTTCTAAGAAAAATTACCAAATGGGGAAAAAAAGAAACCTGGAAAACTTTATTCTGAATAAGGAAGGAATAAAGTRGTGGGTGAAATGGCTCAGAGGAGGAGGTTTAATGCAGAAGACAATTGATGGAGAGGTGGCTGCTTTGCATGAAGGTTGAATTTTGGTTCATTCCCTGGATTCTCTGAAGACCCCTATTTAAACTGCTGCTGTTTGTAGTCTGTCACTAAGAAGTTGTGATCAAGTAGGACTCAGACACTTCCCTCCCCCACGCTCTTTGTAGCTGCTGCTGCTGTTAGAGAGGAAAAATCTTAATTCAACTCGAGCATTACTAAGAAAAATGTGACCTCTGAGCTAGAAGTGCCGTGCTTCTGAAGGGAACGTTCCGTAACATGGAAAGATACAATCTTTTTATATATCACTGCTTAAACAGTGATCTCAAATAGTCTGGAACTGTCCTCACAGAGTCTAAAGTCTTGTCTGTTTGGAAGGCTTCAGTGCAGTGTACTATCAAAGTCAATCTGTTTCAATTAAATTGCATCTTGGTTTTTGATGATGTTGGCTTTTTGGGATGGGGTTTGTGTGAGGCTTTTTGGGGTGGGTTTTATGGATTTTTGTTTGTTTGTTTGGGGGGAGGGTTGGTTGTTTCTGTGGTTGCGTTTGGTTTTGTTTGGTTTTTTTGGGTTTCTTTTTTGTGGGTTTTTTTTTTTTTTTTTTTTTTTTTTTTTTTTTTTTTTTTTTTTTTTTTTTTTCCCCCCCCACAGTAAGAAGATCCTTTCTCCTTCCTGCAGCGAGCGTGTTTCCTCTCTGTTCCGGCTGTGTCTCTCTTCGGTCAAGGAAGGCTCATGGATTTGCCCTCAGTTTAGAAAGGGATTGGAGGAACTSGRAAGGTTTTCCATTCATCTCTGGAGAACAGCTCTTGTTGAATGTTACCCCTATCAGATTGCACAGCAGGGGTACCTGCCCGCGGCACCTCCTCCCGTAAGCCAGGCTGTCGTTCCGGGTGGCTTCGAATGAACCCGAGGCTGTGGTGCCGCGCCTCAGTCCAGGGGGGGCTGGAGCCCCTAGGACGTTCACCTTTGTCGCAGGCGGCACCCGCCCTGCCGTGTCCCCTCAGTGTCCCGCTCTGTCCCCCCGTGCCCCCTCAGCACGGGGCGGTACCGCCGTGCCCCCTCAGCGCCGAGCCAGTTCGGGCCGGACGGTGTCGCCGCGCCCCCTCAGCGCTGGGCGGGGCAGTACCGCCGTGCTCTCTCGGGGCCGGGCCGGGCGGTACCGCCGCGCTCTCTCGGGGCCGGGCCAGTTCGGGCCGGGCGGTACCGCCGCGCTCTCTCGGGGCCGGGCCGGGCGGTACCGCCGTTCTCCCTCAGGGCCGGGCCGGTCCGGGCGGTACCGCCGTGCTCTCTCGGCGCCGGGCCGGGCGGTACCGCCCCGCTGACGGGATCCGGCGCGACGGCGGCCGCGCCACTTCCTGGCGGCGGGAGCGGGCGATGGCGGCGCAGGACGTGCTGGGGCAGACCGCCCGGCTGGCCTCGTCCAGCGCCCTGCTGCAGGTGCGGGGCTGCCCCTCCCTCCTTCCTCATCCTCCTCTGCCTCCTGCAGCTGCTGCTCGGCGGGGCCCCGCAGGTGCTTCCCGTGCGGCTTCTTTCACAGGTGCTGTTCCGAGTGATCACCTTCGCGCTGAACGCCTTCACCCTGCGCTACCTCTCCCGGGAGCTCATCGGCGTGGTCAATGTCAGGTGAGGGGAAGGAGGAGGCTCAGCGGGCCCCGTCCCGGGGCTGGTGGGGCTGTGACACTCTGCTTGTGCTCCGTGCTGGTCTCGGCTCCGCGCCACTGGTGATGCTCTCGTTAATGCTGTGCAATCTGCTGTTGGGTGTTTCACAATGGTTGGTCATTTTATGCCTTCCCCGGCCTGTTTTTGGCCTGATAACAGTGGCCTGGTTTTTGTGTTTAAACCGTCAGCTTGCAGAGGAAAAACTATATACAGCGTGTTTTCCCTATAGGATATACTCTGTATCTGGACTTTTGTTTTGTAGCTTGTGTTCTTGCCGTTTAAATCATCGTTTAATTACTTTCTGCCCTTTTTTAGGAGATGGTGATARTTTAGGTCGTATCACCATGTTTGCACACCTGTAAGATTTGTCTGTTAGGCAGTTCTGTGTAAAAACTGTGATGCTACTGCGTGAACGATTTGAGTAGTGTGTAAAGAAATTGTTTTCTATCCTTTTTTTTTTCCTTTCTGTCTCCTTTAGGCTGACTCTGCTGTACTCAACAGTTGTCTTCCTCGCCAGGGAGGCGTTTCGCAGAGCTTGTTTGAGTGGAAGTACAAAGAGAAACTGGACCAAAACAATTAATCTGTTGTGGCTGACGTAAGATATCTTTAAGAATTTACTTCCATAGAATTCTTATTCTTGTCTGGGAGCTCACAGAATGAGAGTAAGTGTTTATTTGTTGATGTAATTATTTCACAGAGCACAGAGCATTAGAAGCCTCAGYTGAGTTTCAGGACTGATGCAGGAAGCTGGTCAAGTCTGGTGCTTTAGCATTTATGGACTTGATTTCTTGTTGAAGCACATGAGGAAATGCATTTCCAAAGGGGTCACCTGGGACCATTTCTTCTGTTGCTTGAGTTTCATTTATGGTATAGCTATTGAAGGAAATCCTGTTGTACAAATACATAGTCCTTTGGTTTTGCTTCCTCTTCCTGCTCAGTTTTGCTCTTTTATTACCTGATGTGCATTCGTGAATGTGCTTTAGATATCTTCTCTTTCCTTGTCAGACTAAGGTTTTAGTTGTGAGCCCTGGTGCAGATTAATGGCATGGCTACATAAACGTTTGGATAGGAGAGATGTGAAAAGGGAAAGGGAGAGTTGGAATTAGACAACAGGGAGGAAGCAGGGTTGCTTCTTTCAGCTGTGGTGCTGTTTATAGTAGAACAGCTTAAAGTCCACATGACGCTGCAGCCAGAGAGTGCAATCACACATTGCAGTAAAGTGGATTTTATGATTTGTTTTTCCCTTCTGGTTCCTGGTTCTCTCTGCTCTCTTGGTCTGTCAGCTCTAGCTGGTGTGCAGCCTCAATTGGGCTGGGTTGGGAAGTAAATTTAACTGCCTGATACAGGGGAAAACTACCACTGCATGATAAAATAGTRTTCTTCCATTGGGTCACCTGACTTTCCCTGGAACTACCCAGCTATTAATTGAATCTGGTCCAGGAATGGGGGGTTATGTGTGGTCATCTGCATCCAGGTATGAAGYAGAGCGATTGTTGCTGTCACAGATAGTTCTAGTACTAATATTTAAAAGATATTAGTTCTGTTCTCTTAGCTGAATTATAGKCAGCTTTCTGCTGTGTGATAGTATTTCAAGTGACTGTTAAATGATAGAGATGACATTGACTGTGTGGTTTTTTTTGTTTTATGATTTTCCTTGTAGGGAAGCATAACTTCAAATGAAGGTTAACTTCAGTGAAGCATCTGAAATGTCTTAGGAACTTAATGTCAAATATCTTAGGGGTCTGATAGTRTGAGGGTCAAAGACATCTTGTTCCAATGATGTAAAATTTTATGCATTGTGCCAGAAGATCTGTGTTCCTGAAGCAGTGTCAGCAGAAGRGAATATGCAGGCTGACATGGGATCAGAACTGTTTGGTCTTAAGACATAAAAATGCAGATATTTGACCTTATGGCTCTGGAGCAGAAAATGGACAAGTCAGAAAATGTTTTCTGTATTGTGCGAAGAGAGCTTTAAGGGTGTTCATTACAAAGAAAAATAAATGCATTCTTGACATAGTAACAATAGGATTTAATTCTTCAGGGCCTTATTTTGTGTAATCCTTATGGCCACGTGTGATGATGTAACTTCCTTTTCTTTGTTTTTTTTTTTTTTTTTTTTTTTTTTTTTTTTTTTTTTTCATTGCCCTTAATTAGTTTTTATGTTAACTTTTTAGAGTCCCTCTTGGTGTCTTTTGGTCTGTTGTCTTGGGCTTAGTCTGGCTATACTTGCTTGAAGTACCMGACCCTTCTGTGGTTCCTCATTATCAGACTGGTGTAGTGGCATTTGGTCTTTCTGCCATTACTGAACTCCTGGGAGAGCCATTCTGGGTTTTAGCACAAGTTCATTTGTTTGTGAGACTTAAGGTTAGTAAACTTCATGGGGTGTGTGCATGTGGGGGAATTACCTCTCTTTTGAAAAGAACAGATTACTGACTTAGATATTTGTATATTCAAGCATATAAAAAGCCCCTGCATGTACTGTTTAGTATTGTATGGCCTGGTTTGTAACATAACCAGGAATTTGTACCCATTAGAGCAAGCAAGTTGGTTTATTCAGACATTGCTACCTTCAAGACCATTAAATACTAAAACATAGGTTTTAATTGGAGGGAGAGGCACACTGCTACTACAGTGCCACATAAAATTTTGAAATGTRTTATTGAGAACATGATAGTCTCAAGCAAAATTTTCTCTGTTATGTCCCATACAAGGACTGGGAAAATGCAGTGGAGGAATYGTGGAATGCAATAATAGAAAACTTACAGAGAAATGACAATCTAAGCTGGCCAGCTCAGCAGAAAGAAACTTCAATAAAGTCACACTGACTTTGAAAATCTTACATTCCGACATAAATTCTGTGCATTAAACTAATGTATTTTWAGCTTGTGTATGTGGTTAGGTTGGCAGAAAATAACCCTTCTCTGTTTTCTGTTTCTTAAAGGTAATTGCTGAAAGCCTTTCAGTAGTGTCAAAATGCATTTTGACRGTTACTTTAGTAATCCTTTATCCTCAGTGGGGCCTTTACATTTTTTCCTTGGCTCAGGTAAGTTTCCTTTGTTCTCTCTCAGCTGGATTTTGATTTGCCTTTGACATKTAGCWTGCCAAAAAACTTTKGGGAGCTGAGAAAAAGCTCCTGGGMGGTTTAAGATTTAGAATTTGTATTTAGTATTTTCTTGATACTCATAATTGACTTGGTGCTTTGACACTGAGAGTTAAAGAGAAGTACAGAGGTGTCTGTAAAGGCACATCTTGCAAATAAGGTTGTGTTATTCTAATCACACAGAACTTTATCAGCCTATGCCACCAACCTGTATCACCTTATCAGAAGGTGTTAATCAAGTGCAATGAACTCAGGTTAAAACTTTTTCTCGATGACAATGAAGGAGGGACGAAGTTTTTCTTTCAGTTTTTGCACTGGCTGTTGTAGATCACTTTTAGCTGCTGGAAATTGGAAATGTTCTATGAAGTRAGAGATGTAGGCAGCAGCTACTCCATCAACTTGATTTTTGATTGAGTAATTGCTTTATAATTGGACCTTTAAYGTTTGAAAAATGCTGAATAAAACATGAAAATTGGCAAAGGACAATGWTAACCTACAGGTTAAAAAAAGATAAAAAGATCATCAACAGCATTCTTGAGAGACATTAAAACCCTTATCTACTTTAATATTTGRTAGGCATAAAGACTACTTACATTTTCTTCTCACTGTATTTGCAACTAGTATGTAATTCCACATTTCTAAGTTTTGTAACACTGTTTTTCTTCTCTCTTTCCTGATCCTTCCAGCTTTTGTATGTCAGTGTTCTGGTAATGTGCTATGTRATTTATTTTGTGATGTTTTTGGGATCTCCTGAAGCCACAAAGAAGTCATTTCCAGTTACTAGAGTGAAAGCTTTATTACCTAATTTTGTGGAAGATGAGGTAGGTTGCTCAATTTATTCCTTCATTTTCTAAAGTTTCACATGAGGGCACTTTGAATGTTATTTTGAGACAGTGAAGTTAGTGGTTTTGGGRAAATTTTTGTCCTATAGAAGATACATGACAAGTTAATAAAAAATTATATAGGATTTGTGTTTGAARTATGTGTTAGTAAAATTCTTGCCAGCAAAACATAATGGAACTTGAACTCTTTGTGGTTACTGACTTGGTTTGTACAAAATATTAATAGACATTAACTGGAGATAGACCACCTGCACTGACCAGGTATCATTGGATCTGAGGCAGAAAAGAAGCCAGAACCATATAACAATGGATGTTGGTACTTGGACCTCTGCACAAAATAGCCATGATGTTATACAGCATTCTACACTCAAATAGCTCTCAGACAAAAATGAGGCAAAGAAAGAAATGAAAAGGYTCATTGAGGAAGACAACATTTTAGATAAGATTTACAGATTGAAAAGATAGAGGTGGTTCTTGGTTGCAAATTTTACAAGGACAGTTTCAAGAGCAGTAAATAATTTGTATTGCCAGTGAGGGTGAAAGTTATATTGGCATGTTAAACACCGTGGGTGTTTTTTTCTTAACTCTAACCTTGATTAGTATTTTCTGTGGAATGCATCTGTGGGTACTTTATCTGCAACAACAGCTCTTTACAACAAGGGAATATGTTTTTGCCAGATCAGTGATGATGGTGCTTGAATTCAGCAATATTTCAGATTAGTTTTTAGTAACTTTGGCATTGTGGGTTTCCTCATCACTACAGYTGTTAGAACTACCCTATGGTATTGCACTGCCTTGCTCTTTTCTATTTCTACTCTGTAGTTCCAGTCATGYTTATCACATTTCAGTACTTTCTTTGCAGACCTTTGTTAACTGGAAGGAAGCACGCTTGACTTGGAGTTTCTTCAAACAATCCTTCTTGAAACAGATTTTGACAGAGGGTGAGGCTTGACATAGCAGTGTGAGCGAAGAGGGCTCATGAAGACTATTTACAAAATTGACTTAAAGCTTCAGGAAGCTTGGGTGGGGGAAGATGAAGCATGTGATTGCCAATATGAATGGAGTTTTTGAGGGTACTGAGAACCAGGTGCTGTCCCATTTGGCTTTGTTCCTTAAATACCTGCTGTTGGCGGTGCCTGAAGAAGTGTTGGGAAAGATTTTGGGATTTGTTCTYAAGTTCTTTATTTTGAACTTACAGGTGAACGATATGTGATGACTTTTTTGAATGTGTTAAATTTTGGAGATCAGGGTAAGTGTGATGGCATTGTGRAATGTTGACAGTTTTCTTAGTCACTGCTCTTCACGTGGTTCTGAAAATGACTGRAAGTGTTTAAAGATAACTTGAAAATCTGAGAATATTTCAAAGCCTTTGTGACTTGAGATTCATTTCAGAGAATGATTGATATAGATAGTARTAATAATCATTTTAATATAATAGAATTATAGAGTAGCCTGAGTTGGATGCAACCTTCAAGATTATCTAGTTCTGCCACACCATGGGCAGGGACGTCTTTCACTAGATATATACCTTTCTCTTTTTCTGTATCAATAAATCCTTATATTCCTGTTCTCATTCCGTGAACTTTATCAGGATCCTCTAAATTCCTCTACAGTAAAAATTTTAAGTRTAGTTTGGTGCTGTTCTAGATTCATATCTGTGTAGTTGGTGCTTTTGTCCTACCTTTGCCATCAGCAAATCTTGAAATTTTAAGYTGTTGCTTGACTGTCAGAATTTTTAGAGAACACTGCTTCAGTGTTGCCCTAAATCCCACTTGTTTTCTCTTCTTTTTTGGTGGAGATGTTAAATTGGAATTCATGTTGTTATTAAAGATGTGGTATTAAAATGGGTCTAAAACTCACAGATTACTTMTTTTGTTTTAAGGTGTATATGATATTGTGAATAACCTTGGTTCACTGGTGGCCAGGTTTATCTTTCTGCCTATTGAGGAGAGTTTTTATGTCTTTTTTGCTAAAGTGTTGGAAAGAGGGAAGACTGTGAAGGATCAGAAGCAGGTATGTTCATTTTGGATTAATTACATGTCAAATGCTTGATTTTTGTTACAGATAAATTGCATCACAGAAGTGTTACAGACAGAAATGTGTGTTTAAATTTGAAAAATTGAGGCTGTTAGAAATGAAAAGTGGAGAGCAAAAACAATRAGTGAGGCAGTGGCCTTGCATCAATGAAGTTAACATCAGCTGCTCCAAACAGCGTGATGTAAAGCCTGCTCTACTGTGTATTTCCAGATACAGCAAGTTATTATTTAAATAATGAAATCTATTAAACAAATGCTGTCTGGAAGTACTTTATTTACTTAAGCATATCAGTAGCTGTTCGATAATGTTTCTGACGAGTGCAGCTTTGGGAAGGAAAGAATTGGTTTTTCTTGTGTGTTTGAGTTGTATGAGTACTAATGAGTAAGAGTTTTGTTCCACAGAGTAATATTCTTGATCACTSATGAAGGTCAGCCTAAAGCAATCCTGCTAATTGCACATCAGCACATAGTTAAATCCTGTGCTTCAGGTCCTTGGTGGGCTAAGAGATGTGTATGTGTGTATATATTTTATATAAAATCTACCTGGTGGGTATAACTGGAAAAATGGTGGAATAATAAATATGTAAAAAATATTGCCAAGTTTGGAGCACATGTACRGATAATTCAGTAAAAAAAGCATACATTTCACACCTTTTTACACTCCAAACTGATTTATTCGTTTCTGTGAAGTAGTATTTCTGCATGACTATTATTACATTGATTCTGTTAATGGGATTTATTATGTTTTTTTTCAGGATGACGTTGCTATGGCTGCAAATGTATTGGAATTGCTGCTGAAACTTGTGCTCCTGATTGGCCTCACCATCACTGTTTTTGGCTATGCCTATTCTCAGCTGGCTCTGGATATTTATGGAGGCTCAATGCTCAGTTCTGGAACAGGTAAAGATTTATAGGCCTGGCAAAAATACACCATTCTTAAAAAAAAACAACCCTTCAGCTATTTGATTTTTTTCATAAATCAGCMGTCTTGTTTTTTCTTGTGAATCTGCTACTGAAATCTGTGACAGCTCATCAGAATTCTTTGCCTTGTTTGTTTATGTTCTTGTCAAGATATTTATCTAGACAGGTAATTTGTTCAAGTTATCTTAAGTTTCTATTATTAGTATTAACACTACAATYTCTGTCTCTTAGTGACTGTAAAAACAATGGTTTGGTAAAAGAAATTATTATCTATTTGTCTTTCTAATGTGTTTTTTAGGTCCAGATCTCCTCCGGTGTTACTCATTGTATGTCCTGTTTCTTGCTGTCAATGGAGTAACAGAATGTTTTACATTTGCCTTAATGTGCAAAGAAGAAGTGGACAGGTAGGAGACAATGTCTCCAGAATATTCCTGTAAATTTATTTGTACTGACCTTATAAAGAGATAGGATCTTACTTGACTGAGTAAGTGCTGCTTTTGTGATCTCTTCAAAATGTGAATTCATTTACCAAGTCACTKTTTAGAGCAAAAACTAAATAAAGCATAATTTTGTTGTTAACATTCATTTTCTTTAATATATTCCTAATATAAAAGAGCAAAAAATGCGCAAGCTTTTACATTGTTAATTATTATTATTAAATTTTATTTTCTGCAGTGAGTATACAACTGATTATTGAAATAGAATTTCCTTTACATTATGTAGTTTTTGGTTTAATTTACTTGATGTATTTTCTATTCCTTCAAATGTTTTTTTTAACATCTCGTTTCTCAAATTTATCTTCACTAGAAGATGACAAGAGAAATTCTACTCCTCATTTTAGAAAATGAAAAAGACCATTAGTAAATGAATGCTGTGACTGCATGCATTGTTCAATTGTATGGTTGTTTTTTTTTTCCTAGGTACAATTTTGTTATGCTTGCCTTGTCTTCCATCTTTCTGTGCATCTCTTATTTCTTGACCCACTGGTATGGCAGTGTGGGCTTTATCCTTGCCAACTGCTTCAACATGGGCATCCGAATAGCTCACAGCATCCAGTACATCCATGATTACTTCAAAGAAAGTGCCCACAGACCTCTCACAGGCCTGCTCCCCTCACCAGTTCTGCTGCTGGTTTACATCATGAGTGCAGTGATCACCGCTTTCTCAGAGGTGAGCATCTTCCTCTCTGCTTTCACTGGGAATGCTGCTGTCAGGTCGATTTTGTGTCTATAAAAAGAGGAATGCCATTAGGAAAAAAGGCTTTTGAGGGTAGGCTGGGAGACTGCCATTACAGAAAGGCAGGGTATAATATTAAGAGAGTGTATCTTTGTATCCAAGTTCTCTGCCACCTGTACAAGGTGGATATGACAAGTAAAATTTTAACACATTTCTGCTGTGTGTAGATAATCCATGCGCTTAATTATTAATAATGGAAATTTTGCAGTGGCACCAATAAACTGATATAAAAAAATGCTGTAATTAAAATAAATTATAAACAACCAAAACTAGACCAGAAACGAAAATTGCTAAGAGCACGTTTAACACATACATTCAGTACAAGATGGTAATTGTGCAGGCTGATTATTAAGGAGATGGTATATTTTCAGCATACAAAAATTTGGCAGCTTGAAAATCTGTTGTGCCTGAGAAAGGAGAGTTTTACATTTTGGAATGGGAGCTTTCGAGTTTTGTTAGGAAATGGCCTGAATGTTGCTGTGCAGTAGCAGACTTGCATGATAGCACCAGCAAAGTTTTGTGTCATCTTAGTCAACATATTTCTGCATGCCAGATTACAGCAGCTTCCTCATTTACCAGGTAGCTACTGAATGGTTATTTTTTGCTGACWGAATTATCTTAAGCAAGCAAAGGTTGTGACCCCTAAAGTTGATTTGTTGTAGGGTTAGTGCATGTGGCAGAACTGTGCTTGGCTTGGCCGTGGCATGTTGGATGGAAATGCTGGATCTTACTTCTTGTTGAGACAGTGAATGTGTTTTGTGCTGCCTGGTTTTCCTGCAATCACTTGTTTTCTTTGTTGTAGGTGTTGTTCTGCTGTGACAAGGGCTGGATGGCCAGGCTGATCCACATCAGCACAGGYGCCCTGTGCTTTGCAGCAACCCTCRTTACAATGTTCTGCACAGAGACCAAGCTCATCCACTTTGTCAGGAGCCAGTTCCTCTTCCGCTATTTGAAGAAAGGAACATGACTTGCTCCTGTCCAGAACAGTTTTTCTATGTGCTTGCAGTAAAGGGCTGTGTTCTTTCCATAATATCTGTATGGAAAAAAGGTTCCAGGTGTGTTTGGAAGCATTGATATTGGAGGGGCAATGTAGACAATTGCCAGATGAATATTATTTTTCTTCTGGACTGGTCAGTACAGCAAACGAGATGAATGATTTTCACTTCATGCACAATTCTTTTCTAAGCTTTTCTTCAAACAGTCACTTGGGTAATGAATGAAGATCTTAKGCACCTTCTGGCATAACCTGGTTGACAGACTGCATGTGGAGAGCTCCTGTTCCTGCCACKGGGCAGTGTGGGAAGGCCTGACATGGTTTAGAAGGCCCTTATTTGGTGTGGGGGTTGCTTAATTGCAGAGAAAATGGTCAGAAAAAAGGAGCCCAAACCCAACAGTAAACACCATAAAAATACCCAAAAGCTGAGGAGAGCACTAGAGCAAGGACCAGCAGCAGTGTGAGTGTTGTGGAGCAGAACAGTGTGGTGCAGAGGAATTGAGCTGTCACTGTTTGAAGTGCAAAGCAGGGAACAGAAAATCCTGACGTTTACAAGTAAATTAATGGAATACACAGTGTGTGTCCATSCTGGCTCTGTGAGATTATTTCATTCAGCAGATCTTTCATGTCTAAGGRCATTGATTCACTTGTCAGAAATACTCTGAAGCCTTAGCTGGAAGAGGTTTCGAGTATTTTCTGCAGAAGGTGTTGTGTACAATCACTGATGGTGCGGTTTAGAAGGTTACTCATACAATTTCTTACTTTCATTCCATTGTTTTTTGGGTTTGTCTGAGATTTTGAATGCCAGCATAAACAAACTGGTCTCAATAAAAATTATTTTGTTCTGTCTTTGYAATTGAATGTTAAATATATTTAATAAGATTTTTTACAAGGACTTATGTATACTGAAGATTTCTTTTTTGGGTAGTAAATACTTCCTTTTGTTGCAGTGTTTTCCTCRTATCTTGTTCCTTTGCTTGTTCAATCTTAATCTCTATATTTTTTGTTTTTTAATTATTGAAAATTTTGACATTCAGAAATTCTAAAATTCAGTGTTGTCCTGCTGGTTTGGTTGTACTAATGGTATATTGTATTGSTGGTCTAAGATTTGAATTGGGCAATTTCAGAATGTGCAAGTGGCAGGTTTATAATGATCACTGTTCCCTTTACAATGTTTGGACCAAAAWATATCAAGGGATGAAAAATTGTGCYTAGACAAGTGCAGTTGAAAGCTTTTAGTTTAATTATGTATCAACTGTGCAGATCCTCAGACTGCTTGAAAGAAAATCACTGCAKTGGCATTGAGAAGTTCATTGTGGTGACCACAGTGCCCAGGGTGAAATGCTTTCTAGAGTCGGGGCCTTCAGCTTGGTAGCTAGAAATATTTTCTGAACTCGGGTAATTCCCACTTAAAAAACATTGCCAAAGATACTTTATATGGGAATTTGGTGATTGAAAAATTGCCACAGAGAAGCTAAAATGTAACAGTGAAGGGAAAGGAACAGCCTCGCTCAGCCAAAGGCAGTTGTTTCCAATGCCTGGCTGGGAGTAGATAGAGACTTGCTGATTCTTATGCTGTTTTGAAATCTCTTAAAAAACCGCARCTTTGCGTTATTCTGTCTTCTTAATTGGGTTCAGTAGTTCTTTGCCCTAAATTTTTCTCTTCTGAGTGGTTTTGCAKCTTTTTTCTGTTCYCTGTTGGGTGTGGAGTTTGTTATGAAGTATACCTTCATATATTTTAAAGGGTTGAAACTTCTTTATCATAAATTGTCAATTCTTACAGGTTGTTTTTCTTTCTCTGTTCATAGTACAAAAAAATCAAGACAATTGAACCTATGGACTGTATTATAGGGTCCGTCTTTTTCTCCATGTCTTTGGGATCTTACTGTGGCAATATCTCAATCCATACAATGAATTTTTATAACTCCTTGGAATGAGAAATTTTGTACAGCCCTGCAYCTGAAGTGCTTTGGAGATGGAAGAACTTCTTACAGAAAATGAGCTTGAACTAATTCTGCCTTGTGTTGTCTTGCAGCCCCAGCTGTACACTGGTATTATTCTGCTACTTTTAATGTTGTGAGTAGGGTGATGTGAGATCTCCCTGTTCATATAGAGACCTGTGTGGTCTCATAAATGTTTTCTAACATAAATGCRGAGAATGCATTTAAAGACAAGTTATGATTTTGCACTAATTTTTTTATATCATATTGGAATGGCTGATAAATCTCTCTTGTGTCTTGAATGAAATTTTATAGGAATCAGGAAGGCGTTTAAGGTGACTTAATGATTGTGCATTYGCAAATTAACACATTGCTCATTTAAACATTATGGGTAAGCAGTTCAGTAATGGTTCACTGGTTTTTGTGATATGGGATGTTTTATTTTTAATATGTTTTATGTGGCAGGAAATTGCAAGGATGGACAGGAAGTAGAGACTTACGAAACTGTCTGCTGGTTTCTTATTTATCAGTGGGATCCTTAATGTAAAAGCTGTTAATTGCTTTACTGCTAAAGCAGTGAACTCTGAAACTCAGGGACCAAGTTGAGATTGAACTTGACCATGTTTCCCTTTTGTTCTAGTCCCGTTAGTAAGCCCAAGGTACAACTGTCTGAAATTTCRTTAAGCTGTTTCGCAGTGTTCTGAAATATTTTAATTTAAGCCAAAGGTGAATGAAACCATTTTCTTTGGAGGAAAAAATTATGAATTCRTGCTTTGTGGTGTGTTTTTCTCATTTGTTGGATGAATGAGTTTCAAGGTAACACTAAATAAAGTTTATTTCCTTTACATTTTATTTTTGTCTTCTTGGATATTGAAGTTTTGTTTGTATCATTAGTACAGCTGATGCTTGAATTTGGTTGTATTTTCTAGGATATTTTATGTATAGATTCAGTTATCAGCCTAAACATACACACCATTTCCTAACACACACAGAGATAAAATTGCTGCAGTAGTTTTGTGAGAAGTGGCATCGTTATAGTCACTTTCCTTCTCTTTGTTTCTATCAAATTGTGTGTTTGTATGGATTGGAATGGCCAAATGCCTTTGCTTTTACAATGCATTGTTGTGATAAAAACTGATTCACTGGCCAGGAATAAATCTGATAKTTAATGAAATTTTTTAGCTAAATTTGATTATGACTGGCAATACTACTTTTGAGAATGAACCAATTAACCAATTGTTCAACTGTTTGTTTTTCCCTAGTATTGAAAATACTTTATTTGTAAAGAAGTAGCAAAGAAATTGGGAATTAAAGCTTTGCCTAAATGATAAATTTGCTTTAATAGGCACAAAAGGTAATAGATATAGGCTTGCATGCTGATCACAGTTTAGCACCCATGAGGGTTATTGACTTCTTAGTTCTTGTGAAGGATTGTGTGAGTGTGAGTGCTTTGAGGTCAGTCCTAATTCCCTGGTTTCTGCATAGTCTTTCTATCTAAACTTTGAAATTCTTTTTGTGGGCTTCCTATTTCTTGCTGTTTGAACATCATACTTGGGCTTTTTTCCTGTGGTTTAATTATCTGATTTTCAAGATAATGCCAAAGAGAGAGGATCTGTGGCTTTTTGAACCATATCAGTGTTTCAGTAGATCTGCTCAGCTGTAATGGTGTTGTTGAGCACAAAATGCATAACTCATCTGCATTCTGAGAGTGTGAGGAAATGGAGCTCATTTCCAATATAAGCTGAAAATGAAGTTAGAAGCTCTGCACATGTGATRTACAGCTGCACCCTGGAAACTGAGAGCAGGGCCTGCTCAAAAGCGTGARCAGCTGGGGATCTAAAGAAAACTGATAGGAAGTGCTTATCTCTGGTTGATTTTGGATTGCTGCCATGGAAAGATGTGGTTCTCTCKAGTTTCTGGATCTGAGTGGTGCTCCAGGCACCACCTTGCTGGGATCTAGAAAGAGGAGTGAACTTTTGTCAGTGGGGTGTCTGTCACTGCACATCCCTGTAGTGAGCTCTGTTCATGGAATCTGATAGTGTGTGCAGCCAAGGTAGGATTCTCTGGTAATTGTGGGGAAAGGTAAAACTGTGAGTTTCCTTATGTCAGACTTCCTGCTTCGTTGTGGTAAGAGCCTCTGACAGAGCTCTGTGTGTTGGTTTGTTGGCAAGGTTTTGTGATTCACAGATAATGTGTTTGGCATAATTTATCTCCAAAATTCTGTGTCATGCCACTGAACTGAGAAAGTGGAAAGGAACATAACTAAGAGGACAGATGTTTTATATCCATGGCCCATTTAATAAGACTGAAATAATTAAAGCTGTGTGAAGAAAAAGAAATAGTTAACAGTCCTTAAACACACATCAGATTTATGAGTAGTTTTAATCTACTGGAAAACAAGAATTGTGTTTTGTTCGTGATACACTTTTGCTCCAAGAAGGGAAGAATGCAACAGAGCTTGGGAGAAGACTGCAAGGTTTAGCCTTAACATTCTTGAGTGCAAAGATATTCAGACATGTTCATCCTTGTGGATGCCTTGGGAGAGAGGAGTATGAAACAGGACACTGATGCTGTTCTGAAGGGATTGTGTCGCAGAGAACAACTGGACCACAGTGAGGCACTGTAAGAAAGTGCCTTGTCATCACTTGGGAATATCTTCAACTCCTTTTCTGTTTTTCATTCCTATTACTTTCATATGTTGGCAAACCATTGAAAACCAACTCTTGTATGTAGATACATACCATAAAGGGTCAGCCTAGCCAGTCCTATTGCAAAAATGCAGTAAGTCACCTGGGCTGAATTGAGAAAGATGTTGGTCAGCTTGCTGAAGGTTGTATTGTGGCCTRTTTGCCAGCTCTGGCAGCAAAGGCTGCAGGAGGGAGCAAATTAAGGTTGCACAGAAAATTTTATTTGTGGCTTCTTTTTGGTTCTGGATGCTTGACTTGGCAGTGCTAATGTTTTCCTAATGGAAGGGAGTTTTGGGAGTAATTTTATAAAACAAGTACCATAAAATGCACTCATAGGCCTTCTCTTATTTGTGTGATGATTTTTAGCTGCCTCTCAGCATGGGTGAGGAGATGTTATGGGATGAAGAAAGGGAAGCATGGCTGAGTACAGTGCATGTGCAAGGAACAGTTCCCCTCTGTGGACAGACCTTCCGTCTGTGAGTTACTTCCATCTCTGAATGCATTTCAGTCACTCAGATAAAACTTTAAAGTGTGTCAGTGCTCCAGTGCTTCTCTAGGCAGCCAGGAGAACAAGCTTGGAAGAAGCAGAATATGCCCATGAAGCAGAGTGCACTTTGCTATGGACTCCTTGTCATTCTTCTTTGCTGGTCAAGTAGGATTTATTTATGCATTGAAAATACAGGCAATAGGGTGTGATAATACTCTATTTCACTGTCCGGAATAGTCCTCATATTTGAGGTTGACTGTATATTAACCAGTGAAAACTGGGATTTTTCTGTGGTTCTTTCAGAATTGTACTGATCAGTTTTAGTTTATTTTTTTCTCCCTCAGATTACTCTATTACAGAATAGCTTCACACACGTTTATCTGGGAGCTCTGCAGAAGCACAGGATGAGAATCAGAGAAGTTGGGGTTTCACTCAAGTCCTGCTCAGCACAGCCAGGCTGGAGGAGGGCTGTAAGAGCTGAAAAGCTGAATAAAATCAGAARCTGAAAACAAACACACCGTGTTCCACTTTGGTAAAAGGGCATTCAATATTCTCAGTGTTCCACTGGGCTGACTGCTCTCCAGGTGAGGAGAAAAGGAAAGGATTTCTCCCCATCCAGAGGAAAATGTAGTGATGTAGGTCATCTGAAAGATATTTTGGTGTGGGAGCAGGGAGATTTCGTGGCTGAAGATGCATTGAGGAAGGCTGAAAAGGCATTTGCAATCTGTCAGGGGAGCAGTACATCTATGGCAACGATAAGGTTGCTGCAGTATGGGCTTTGAGGTGAGSTGCAACCAATTTGACTTAATCTATTACAGTTAGGAAAAGGAAAATTAGTCTCTGTAGGGTAAGAAAAGGTGGACTTGAAAGCAGAGGTTGAATTATAGAAGGAACAGGAACAGAATCGAAGTGGAAGAACAGAAGAAAAGTAGTGCAGAGTAGTRTGTGCTGCAAAAAGCCTGTTCAGCATCTGGGATGAAGTGCATGTGATGAAGGACAGAGAAAAGCCTAGACAATAAAACCTCCAGCTGTGCAGTTACTTGGCAGTGGAAAAAAGCTTAAGCAGCTTCAGGGCTGTAGTTAGAGACAGGATTGTGGATTGGATCATTCAGCTTCCTCAAGGAGTCTCCTGGTCTTTGGAMAGAGCATTGSAGGAAGAGCAAGGTGTGGTTGGATTTGGTGCAGAATTCAGCCCATGGGACAGAAGGGGCAGCTGTTGGTACAATCCAGATCACTTTGGTGTGGATATACCAAAATCCATGGAAAAGGTATTTCCATTCTGTCACCAAGCACCAAACCTTAGACCATTTTTCATCTGCTAATCCATATGGGCAGCCCTGAGGCAAAAAAAATGGGAGAAATTACGGGTGGAGGCAGAGAGATGGAAAAAGGGACAGTGCCAGAGCAGTGAGTGGGAGCASTGATCTCTGGAGGCTCATGGGACACAGGGAGTGCAGGGCAGTGAAGCTGTGCTGCAGACTGTGCTTTCCCCACACCACAGTGCTACCTGGAGGAGCTCTRAGTGGATAGATAGGAGCCCCACARTGAGCACAGTGGATTCTAGGTTTTAATTAATTAGGGAACAGAAATGGAAAATTACAAGAGTTTTGCACTGATAATGTGTGGATAGCAACTAGATGTGCATGACTTAATATTCACTATTAAGATAGTAGAAAATTTAATGTATTAAATATGKACTCAATCTTGAATGAGCAAGGGCAACTGGTAAATATTGTTTATTTACAGATCCACTTGCTTTGAATTAAGTGAAGTGTGTATGATGTACAGTAATTTGGGTAAATGAAAAAACAGAATTTAAGGAAAGGGACTGTCCCTTCTGCTAGAGGAGGGAAAAATTAAGCCATTGAAAAAGTAGTGAAACATTCTGGGAAATCACTGTTTTCCAAGAAATGCTGTGTGTGCTGAGGGAGCAGTAAAGTATTAAATTAAAAAATAATACCAGTAGTAATACTCTAATTTTTCTTCAGTGATAACAAAATATTTTTCTGTTATTAGAAATGTCAAGCAACAGTGAGGGCATATGAATTTACAGAGTGCCACAGCCATGGAATATTAGCTGAAGACATCCCTTGACTACAAAAAAAAATAAAGGAAAAAAGTTAAATAAG